CACCAGTTAAGCGTCGGCGGACTCTAACAATAAAAAAAAAGAAAGGAAAGGGCTTGAAATGCAACACTCACGGTTTCAGAAAAGATACTACTTTATTCCTTTAGTAATCCTCCTTATATACATTTCATATGTTTATTTACATTCAGGACGGTATTAAGGCTGATATCGCCGGTCTCCGGTCTTTATCTTATATATATATGTATATATATATATATATATGTATATATATATATATATATATATATATATATATATATATATATAGAGAGAGAGAGAGAGAGAGAGAGAGAGAGGAGTTTATCCAGTTGACCGGGATTAGCGTCAATGAAGTTACAACACAGTAATTGGTGGAACCCATTACCGTGTTTTGTTCATTTAAAATTTTATAAATTTGTACATGATAGACATGGTTTTGTTTTGAAATCGTCTAACGATACCGTATTTCAGCGGTACCTGTCTATTATATCCTCATGGTACATACTCCTCCTATCATGAAATTTTATTGCTCTCTAAAAACAACGAAAAGAAAAATAGAAAAATTTTAGAACATTACAATTGCACTTGTTGTGAATTTTTCCATGTTAGCTGATATGAAAGTTCGCTACAAATTGAAATCTCACAACAATATGGTTTCTTAAGAAAAAAAATCAAAATACCATAAGATGTGCTTCCTCTAATATTTTGATGACTTAATTTCTGTCATGTAATCCCTTTCTGGGTATACCTGACTTATAGCATAGAAAAGATTTTGGATTGGTTATAATATCCGAAAGAATTTTTAGAGAGTTCATCAGGATCACTAGAAACAATGATTCAGTAGCTATTTCGAAGAGGAACAATACCTCATGTAGCCCTGACAGAATAAAGAGGAAGTTGATAGGTTATATCAAGAGAAACTGATTCATTTCTTCAAAATGAATCATATCTCAATTAAGAATTGAATTATTAATAAATCTTAACCTAAAGGTTAGTATTTAGTAACAATTTATAATTATAATAGTTATAAAGTATTGCCATAAATCAGATGAAGAAAGCCCAAAGAAGAACTCGTAACGAAAGTCGCCCTAGTTTCAACCAGCCAAGTCTGCAAGACTATTACCCACTTTGACTCAATTATATTTTTTCTTATTGTTTGTTCTTTGCAAAGTGTTTTCTAAAACTGTTTACTCTCTTTTTTGGCACTTAGATCACTGTTCTGGTTCTCAAATTAATTTTTTTTTAAAAGTCTGCCAAGTAAGGAAAGTATAGCTTCCTCACCATTTTTATTGGTTCCACACTTACCTATGTCTCAAAGTCTATTACTATTAATAGTACTTTTACTAATTCTCACCTTTCTTTCAACTTTGAGCCACTCGATTGAGCCGTTTCTGAAATATTGGTATATATCTAAGAAAATACATTTGCGCGAATGCAAACGAAAGTATTAATATGAAATTTAATGAAATTGATATGGGACCATATAGACACCAACTCGCACAATCCCTGACAATTCACGAAAACTGGATAAACAGTAGTAGGTGATATGCCCGTCATATCTATTTGACTACAGACAGACCGACATACACCGAACCAAATGATGATCCCTAATGCCTGAAACGTAAAACGTGAATGGAAATTTTCGATTCTGAACACACAATTTTTTTTAACCTCCCGTACGAATACAAAGCTTCCCTAACTTCGGTAGTGAGGAAGCAAAATAATAAGAAAAATAGTGTTATTTTAAAAGAGAATAATATTGAAATTGATATTATAATTTTTATATATTTAACTAAATACCAAAGATAGTCTCAGATTTCATACAATGCTCACAAAAATACAGGATGTACAATCTTCACTTAAATGATTGAGAAATTATTAGAGTATTGATGGATTTTGTATTCATATGATTTAATACAATTGAATTTAATATACATTGTCTAAATCCAAGATATAAAGAAACAAGAACAAATGTACACTATCGGAATTAAGCCGGGTTATTATCTTGTGAAAACTCGAGCAGTGTAAACTGTATCCAACTGTAAACAAATAAATAACTTTTAGAACAAAAGAAACGAAATAAGAAGAATTGAAAAAGAAAAGATGGCCAGTAAACTTGAGAACAACTCAGAAGAATATTATTGTCTGGCTGCCACCGAAGGAATGGACAGATCTTTGCCATGAATGATATGCTAATATCAACTGTATTCTTAACTCTTCTGTCAGAGTTCTGTCAAAAGTCAAAGGCTGTCTTGACAGGGGCAACGGAATTCATTGTTATTCATGATGTTTTGATTTTATAAGAGTTTAGATGAAAAGTTTAATATTCCACGAAATTATGAATAATATTTATATATTGTTTTAATTTTCTTCAGCTACTATAAGGTAAGGGAAGTATTGTACTCCAATCAAATTTCCGATGAGCAGTTTTCAACAGATATATATATTTTTCAGAACGATCGAAAAACGTAATTTTAGCCATTAGCTTGTGTCACGAATTTTTCTTTGAACAGACGGACAAATTTTGTTGGTTTTCGATCACAAATCACCAATAAACCCTTACGCAATAAATCGTATATATATAAATATACATATTATTTTTAATTTACAAGTGTATAGGTTTAGTTTGTTTGAAATCGTTTTGAATGTCATTGAAGTACATTAGGTATGTTTATATATAAACACCTGATTTTCCCAGGATATCTAGAAGAATATTATTTTTAAAGAGATATGAGACTTCTTGAATCTATTGTATAGCTTTATAAAACAATGAATAGATATAAGATATAAATAAAAAAGAAATAAAGCGTTGAAAGAATGTCGGATGGATTTATGAAGAGTAGCAGACTGCTTGGCCTGACCACAACTGCACGTGGCTATATTCTAACCACGCAGCTTCCTCTGTTTCTCTCGCTAAGGCATAGTTTACTCTTTAGTTTATAAATCTAAAAATAAATATTATTTTTTTATTAATTAAATAATTAAACAATTTTTTCGCTAAAAATATACTAAAAGATATATATAAACTACTTTGAAATCTGAAACAAT